TGCAGCAGTAAACAAATTGAGCGGCGAAGGCCTATACAATAAGAATGCAATGTTTTCAGGTTTGTCTTTAACCTTAAAATTGTGGACAAATTCAAATATCGATCTCCTTATCATTCGCCTCATTTATTTCAAAAAGATCAATATCCTCAATCTGAAGACCAGCAGATTTTAGTGCAGGAGGGATTGCAGCAGCAGGACCAATACCCGTGACAGCAGGATCCACCCCAACCGCAACAAAGCTCCTACAAGATTTTAAAAACTGATTATTCATTTCGTTACTCATAAGTCAATGATGATATATCCAAAGTAGAATTCAGAACCAACTGAAGATAATGCCCCCTTGATCTACTCCAAACTGAATATATAAATAAGAGCCCAGAAAAACTAGGGAAAAACTCTTCTGACTAATCTGGATTTCCCAGATGCTCTCAAGGACGTGTTAACATGGAACGAAATAATCCAGTTTCAACTAGCAAGAACCAATATGCCCGACATCTTGATTGCGCTAAAAATGATGCAAATCGAAGTAAACAAATTATCTTGAAAAAGAGGCAAGCCCAATATATATTTTGCATAATTCTAAACCATGTGAATGGAGACTACATTCATCTCTGCAAGAAAAGCAAACCTGAATATGCCAGGTATAGGCAACTCTTTTCGCATTGCTACATCTCTCCTCATTAGTAGCACTGCTCCAGCACCATCACTCACTTGACTTGAATTGCGTAGATTATGAATCCAGCTTAAAATCTACAGGAGGGAAACAGCTAGCTGTAGATATTTTAGTCTAAAGAACAGAGTCACTATAATACCAGCCGTTGTGCTCCCATCCTTCTTAAATACTGGTTTAAGCTTTGCCAGGCTCGATACTGCAGTCTCAGGACGTATTCCATCATCTACAGATATCGTGACTTGTTTCTCTTCTCCGCTTTTTGGGTCTACTATCTGCAAGTAATGCCATTTCATGTTAAAGAACAGAAAACTGAGCTTTCGCCTGGGAGGCTCATGACAATGACACTACATCAACCCTTCTCCCAATTAGGTCTATAACTATGTTTTGTAGCTCATGACAATTATTGACCTTCTAAATCTGCCATAATTGGCCATAAGGAGGAGAGCATAAATATAGCAGGGCGTCGCTGCTTCAGTTACTCCCAAAGTGTGCCATGCTTGGTTGACAGGAAAATCCCAGAAGCTGCTTATTTTCCGTTCAATGGAAAAAGAAAGGTAAATTACAATAAACCACCAATAACTTTTAGTGTTTTGCAGTAAACACCCCAAAACTTCCAAAATCACACTAAATCCCCAATAATTTTCAGCAGTTTGCAGTCCACTCCCGATAACTTTCAAAATCACACTAAGCTCTTTTGAAATGCTAAAAAAAACCCAATAAGTTCCTGAATTTTGCAGATAAACCCCATAAATTAGAACAAAAAAAACATGAAAAGACATTTTGAAGGGCAATTTCAGCAAAAGAAAAAATAATCTGGGTTCAGGACCCCTAACCTGGGCGCGAGCAAGAGGAGAATGAATAACAAAAAATGAGAAATTTTTGTTTTTAGGGTTGAAAATGTAAAAAGGTCGTAAAGTTTTTTTTAATAATTTAAGAGGTACTTTGGTATTTTTAACTCATGTGAGTTGCACGTGCCACGTTAGATAAAACGGGTGCTCAATTTGGGGATTTTCTGCAAAAGCTATTGGAGTCTACTGCAATTTGAAAGTTATTGAGGGTATATTGCAAAACGCTAAAAGTTTAGGTTCAGGTTTAGGGTGATTTTGAAAGTTATTGGGGTTTACTACAAAACGCTAAAAGTTCTAAGGGTTTAGTGTAACTTCTACAAAATGCTGAAAGTTAAAAGGTTTTAGTGTAACTTACCGAAAAAAAATGTAGATAAATTTTTTCAGGAGCCCAAGGCAGAAAGGTGTTGGCCCCAAGCATAGTCTACCCGGAAAACATGTATACTGGATGAAACATAAATGTTCATCCACCTAATCATATTAGGAAATTACTTATGCTTTTACCAGTAATGCCTCATGATTAGAGAAAGATTTATCTCCAAACTGCACCTTCTGTGAGATTCTATACCAGAGCAAAATTTCACCTACAAGATTTCTGGATAAACAAAAACATAAGCAACCTAACAAGACTAATTTGAAAATATTTTCAAAGAAACTTCCCTGAAGACCTATTCCAAAATTTCAATCATTTTCTACCAGACAAATAAACCTAAATGGAGTCATATAACGCTGGTAATTACCTACAAAAACTCTGTTAAAAAGTTTCTTCTACTTGGATCCCAGATATCAATGGAAATATACGTAACGGATGAAGTGATAAAGACTTTCACCTTTGTCATCACAGGAACAATTTCATCTTTAAATTTACCAGAGGCAGTTGCTGCTGCAGCTTTCTGATGTGATTCAACCTAAAGCATACGGCCATTTTCGACCAACAAATCGGATGTATATAGGAGAAACTTACAGCAGCCTGATCTTGCTCCTGTCGGGTTACACCAAAACGACGTGCTGCATTTTCAGATGTAATTCCCGTAGGAAGGAGACAATCTTGTGCTTGGAAATGCTTCACCTGAAGCATCAAAATAGTTGTCTTTCAGCAGTATGAGAATATGCCCTCAAGGAATTTTGTCCAAACATAAGCAGGTGTTTGATTTGATCTGTGACAGAAAGCATATTTTTGGGTTTATGGATCCTTCCATTACAACTTGATTCATACTCATGGATTCCAACCCAGCCCCAATACCTGTAGTGAAATAAAAACAAATTAGAGTATGATTTGCAAAGTCGATTTATACTTAATAACAAGATAAATCACATTGACTTACCATTATCATAATAACCAGCTTTTATGGCACAGCTGCAACATCAACAACTGCTTGAAGAGCAGAGGAACACTGCCTGTTCACAGTTCTGATTGGAACAGTTTCTGTGCACCACAACATATCGCTAAGGATAGAATTCAAGTGTACAAATCATGGGAAGGATAGGGGACATGGAAATGAAATTACCAGGAAAACCAGCATAGAATGCAGCCATCCTGCATTCATTTGCTCTTTGAGCACCTGGAGCTAAGACTGTACCAACCACGATATCACCAACTTATTTTGGATCCAGTTTCGTCTTCTCTATTACTGCCTATGATATTAATTTGTCACAACAGAAAAACAATATTACAACTCGTTTATGACACTTCATTACAGAATTTACTGTTGGACATTTGGACATGAGACAACACTTGGACATAATGTATAGTATATAATTAACACTTGGTCATGACGAAACATTAAGACACCCTTTTCCTAGGACTGGGACACTTCTCATATGATAAAAAGGAGACATTGAGACAAATTTGTCCGCAATAGCTCCTCTCATCTAACTCCATTACTCCTTCCCGCACCTCCCATAATATATTCTTCCTTTACTCAGTAGTTAATTATGTTATCTATCCACAAGGCCTGCTATTAGCTTACTAAGACAAGTATAGGAAGAATAATATCTGAACTAAACATCATATGCCATATCTTTGACCAGATTCATGGTTGATGACACACTCTATATGTTAGGAATTTTATGGAGATTAATCTGCGGAATTAAACACTAAACAAACAACGGTACCAATGAAAATATCACACGCAAACAAACATCAAGATTTAACGTGGTTCGGCAAATCGTACCTACATCCATAGGGCAATCCAGAGAGCAATATTCCACTATTAATCAAGAGTACAATCCTTCAAAGTCATACCCAAACTTGAGGATCAAATCATAAGAGAAAAAATACACCATTACCTCTAGGGAACCAAAACCCTAAAACCCGTCTCACCATAAATCTCCAACATCCGCGGAGAAACCAACACCGTACCCTTGACGACGTCGTCGTTCTGTTGAAAATGGCTTTTGAATCACTACAATCGGACAACCGAGCTATTCGGAATCTCAATTTTCTCTCTTTTTCTCTCTCCCCTCGGAATCTGCGCAACCCCTCAACAGACTCTCGGGTTACTGTTCCTGCAAATTGATTACAATGTCTCTCTCGTGAGGGATCTCTTTTATAAAGGGAATATTATTCTTCCCCCTCCTATTCCTATTCCTATTCTATTGCGATAGGTCCCTCAAATCCTTATAGCATTAGGATTTAATTAACCAAGGTCCATCTACCTTTTGTGAGCCCCAATTTGAACTGGACCCACAACAGTGTTTGTTGGAAATTTGCAGTAAAAAGATAATGAAAGAAAAATTGACTTGTATTCCTCTCAAAATCAATTACAATTTGGATTCCGATTACAAAAGAGAAGAGAATGAATTTGATTCTCCCCTTTATTTAATTCTGGGTTCTTCACGGTGGCGATGAGATGCCTCCCTCGAATGCTCGCGTCGAGTTTGCTTCTCGTTGACGATCCGAACGTCTTGATTCACTGGAACGTGATCTTCTCCTCACGATTTGACGCTGTGGAGAACTTGCGTGGCAAGTTTTGGAAAATAACTCTTGACGAGTTGATAACTCTGAACGAGTTTTAGAAGAACTTGCAGAGCAAGTTTTGAACTCTGATCGAGTTGATAACTCTGAACGAGTTTGAACTCTTGAAAAAGAGTTGATTTGAACCAAAAGTCGGTTATAAGCCAAGGGAATGCTCCTGTTGTTGATCTCCAAAATCCCAGCCGAAGGATGAAGGCTCTTCTTCTTTGCTACCAAGCTTGCTCTTGACCGAATCTCTCTCTGTTGATGAGAAAAAATTCCATCCTTTAACTCAATTGAGTTTCTGGTATTTATAGGGGATTAAGGGTGGTAACTACCCCCTTAATCCGCTCTTAAGTGGAGCGAAAATCCCTCAAATTGTGGAAAAAAACAGTTCCTGGAACTGTTCATTGCGTGCTTTGAACGAGTCAAACGCTGAAAAATAGCGTTCAGGGCCCGAACTCTGCGTTTTTAGACTAAAAACGCAGAGTTGGGCCTATCTTGGTGGCTGAACGCACAGGCAGATTCTCTGTGCTAGGGCGTTAGAACGCAGAGCTGAACTCTGCGTTCAGCAGCACGGTTTGAGAGATATCTGCATTCTAATATGAAGAGACCGTCAATTTGTAGTCTCTTTTGCTAGAGCTTTGCACATATCGTCCTCTTGTAATCTTCGTCTTGGCTCCTTGAAAATATGAGAGTCGTCAGATTGTAACTCCCGATGTTGATTGTGAAGGCTGTTGAATTGGGGCCTTCATTAGTTGTTGTGAAGGTCGTCAGATTGTAACCTTCTACGTGAAAGTCCTCAAATTGTAGCCTTCTGGAAGTCGTCAGATTGTAACTTCCATCATCGGTGTTTGATGGGGGATCAACTATCTATTGTGATTTTTAGACAGCCTACAGAACCCCCTCCAAAGTTTTTGAAAGTTCGCGGTTGACTGGAACGAATTTTCGGAATACTTTGGATCTCAACTCTGATCTTGGAGCTGTTGATTCCTTGTCACAAAGGAGTTGTTCTCTGCACTCGCTTCGAAGGTAGCTTGGTTGAAGGGATTTGCCACGTAGGACCTGTGTGAAGGTATGCGTCATAATCCTGCTTCTAGACTGTGGGGTGGACCCTGCATTTTGAACTTGAGATGCGGGTTTTACCGTTGCATGTTGAATTTGGAACATAGGTGTGACCTCGACGTTTGGTTTTTTGCATCGCGGGTCAACGTTTTGACTTAAGACATGGAAGTGGCTTCCGTGCATTTTTGACTAAGTCTTTGAGACTTGTCTTTGGCGCATCTGTTTTAAGTCTCGACTCACATCTATTAAGCTGATGGGCCTGCAAATGTGCGTAGGATTTTTGGCAAACCCTCAGCCACCAACGGATATGATAAGCCTTTACCGACTACCGTTTGAGTCGGGCTAGCATGTGAATTATCTAGGTCCGTTCCACATGTAACGTTGTGCTAAGAGAATGAACTCTATTAGTCTTGATGCTATGATTTTGAATACATAGACTTTGTCATTTTGACGGGAAAAGACTAACCGACAACACGTGTTAGGCGTAGACTTATCTCTATTTAGGGATCGAGATAAAGTCCCCCATGCGTGTGAGGCATGGATTTTGATGTCCTTTTCACGGTAAAAGACTAACCGGCAACGCGTGTTAGACATTGACTTATCCTACCGGCAACGCGTGTTAGGCGTAGACTTATCTCTATTTAGGGATCAAGATAAAGTCCCCCATGCGTGTGAGGCATGGATTTTGATGTCCTTTTCACGGTAAAAGACTAACCGGCAACGTGTGTTAGACATTGACTTATCCCTACTTAGGATTCAGGATAAAATTCCCCATGCGTGTAAGGCATGGATTTTGGCGTTATTAATAACGACCTGCTACGATATTGAATACGTAGGCTTTGCTATTATTGCGGGAATAGGCTACCCGGCAGCATGTGTTAGATGCAGACTTATCTCTAATTAGGGATCGAGATAAAGTCCCCCATGCGTGAAGGCATGGATTTTTGGTGTCATTTCTTCCTGTGTAGCTTGAAACACCGAAAGAATTAACAAGTTCATTGGGAGGGTTGACTGTTAGAGGTGTTATGTTAACCTAACAGTATTTTATGGACCTATCGCTCTATTGAAGAGAGTCGATAAGTTAATTTGGTCATCAGAGGTGTGGTGTTAACTTGACGAGTTTGTGGACCTATCGCTCCATTGAAGAGAGTCGATAAGCGGATTTTGTCAGAGGTGTAGTGTTAACGTGACAAGAAAAATATTGCTATGGAAGCAATTTTGAGGACTTATCGCTCTATTGGAGAGAGTCGATAAGTTGATTTTGTCAGAGGTGTAGTGTTAACGTGACAGGATTTGTGTTGCGATTGGAGCAACTTTGGGGACTTATCATCCTATTGACGAGGATTGATAAGTGAGTTTTGTCAGAGGTGTATTGTTAACGTGACAAGAATTTGTGTTGCGATTGGAGCAACTTTGGGGACTTATCATCCTATTGACGAGGATTGATAAGTGGGTTTTGTCAGAGGTGTATTGTTAACGTGACAAATTGAGAGTGATGCCAATTGAATGCATACTCTGTGGGGATGATGATCGTCAGAAGTGTAATGTTAACTTGACGATGTGAAAGATTCGTTACTCTTAATCCAATGGATTCCAAGTAACCAACCCCCAGTCTTGATTAAGACTTAGCAGGGGAATAAAAAGAGGTAGACAAGGCACATCACCTAGTGTGGTACTATCCATGAAGTCGGAATAGAGTCACATCACCAGGTAGGCCATTATCTGATGAGTTTGACTATCAGAGGTAACTGTTAACATGATAGTTGTTGGACCCGTCATCCTACTGAAGAGGATTGACTTCAGTGGCCGTAGTATCTTTCCCTTCTGACTGGGAAGAGTGAGCCTGGTCCAGTTGCTCAGGAGAAGATTGAGCTTGGTCTGATTGCTCGGGCTGATCTTGCCTACTTCGTTCTTCAGCTTTGATCCTGGCAATGATTTTTTGAGCCTGCTCGTCTTAGAGATTAGTTGTCTCCAAGAACGGTATTCTGCAACTCCTATTCGGGCTAGGAGGTCGGTTTGTAAGTTGTGTCGATAGGTCTCTACTAAGGTAGATTGTG